GGGGGGTTCGCTCTCGCCAGGGGGCGAACGGCGAGGGATCCCTGACAGCGGTGGCGGAGTGGCCGACCGGGAGGTGTCAGGGATCCAGCTGCAACGAGAAGTGTGATTTTTTCCTTTTTTTTTTTTTTTAAATTTCGTGTATTCTTCTATCCCTGGGTGCCTGCCAGGCGGGGTGAGGGGTGTGCTGGTGTAGTGGCTGCGGTCTGACACCCTAGGGATGCTTCAGGGCCTTGCAGGTCTCAGTAAGGCTTTTCCTCGTTTGCAGGGCAAGGATGAGTCTGTTTGGATCAACATCAGGGTTTGGTACTGGAGGTACCAGCATGTTTGGCAGTACGACTGCAGATAACCATAATCCGATGAAGGTATGTGCATTAGCCCCCGTGGGAACCGCTGTTGTTCTGCTGTGGTTTGATGTGTCACGGCAGTACCTACTAACTCACCCCAGGGAAGTAGTAGGATCTCGGCACACAGTTTTCAAATGTGGCTAATTTTGGTTTGTCTTCTGCCCTTTATAGGATATTGAAGTAACATCTCCACCTGATGACAGCATATCTTGCTTAGCATTTAGTCCGCCAACATTGCCGGGTAATTTCCTCATTGCGGGATCATGGGCAAATGATGTAAGTACTCACAGTCAGACCTACAGATGAATAAAGTGGGAGCATTGGTACCTAAACTGCAAAGTGTGACTCTAAACACTTGTGCGAGGGCACCTGAAAAATCTTCCTTGTTGCAGAACTGCAAAATCTGTGTCTGGTGCCAAGGCACTAAGTTTGACATAGCTGAGCTGCTTCAACTGAAAAATTCAGTTGTGGTCTTCAGATAAGTCATTCCTCTGCCTGTGTGTTTTAAGCTTCAGCTCGGAATATGCAGTCAAAGTTTTCCCTCTTAGATTTTTGTTACTTCGACTTTTCTTTTTCCTACTTGTTTGGTTTTTAGCTTCATTTTCTTACACAATTAGGCTAACATAGTTATGGTTTGCCAGTGAAAGAACCATGAACACAATGGTAAATCATCCAGTTTGACAGTGTAGTCTCAAAAAGATTAAGTTCCTACAACCTTATTGAAGTTTGGTTGGATTGAAGGGTGAGATCCCAACTGGAAAACAGGGAGGGGAAGACAAACCTGAGGGCATTTTTTAAATGTTCTGTTTGGTCTGTTGGCCAGTAGCCTGCAGCAGGCAGCTTCTTGCTAGCTGAGGGTTAAAGTCTCCCCAGGAGAGCACTGGGAGGTGTTACATGATCGTAAGGTACTTTTGAGGTGGGGTTGAAGTTGTGGGGTTAAGTTGTAGCTGTACAGTTAAAAGGAACATAATCAGAGAAAATAAGGTTTCAGTAGTTCTGAAAAAAGCTTGGTGTTTGTGATCGTGCTTTTTGTTGGATAAACTTAAGACTGGGATCTTCAAGAAGAGAGGTGTTTTAAGTTCTTAGTGTTAATATGTTACGTCTGTATATGCTTCTCCTGTTACAGGTTCGCTGCTGGGAAGTTCAAGATAATGGACAGACAATTCCAAAGGCTCAGCAGATGCACACAGGGCCTGTACTAGATGGCTGCTGGAGTGATGTATGTTCCTATTTAAAAATAAACAAACAATTTTTACCAAAACCCTAAATAAATTGGCATGTGGTTTCCAGACAGATACGAGTGCCACATGTAGATGCAGCCCATGATTATTGTATAGACTTATGTTACTGTAAATATGTGCTAAGCATGTCCTAATAGAAGAGACTAGCATGGGCCTAAGAAGGGTAAAAGCGAGTTTAAAAGTAATAATGTATTTAAAGCTAGATAATAGCTAGCACAGTTTTCTCTTTTACGACGCATACAGTCGTAAATAAATTTCCATTTTTATGTTTCTTCTTTGTCTTGCAGTCCCTGTATGTGTTACATTCATGTTATGCTATTACTAGAAGAGAGTAAGACTTGACAGTTTTCTAATAGATACTGCATGATAGGGCTATTTAATCTCTTGGCCTTATTCTTGGTTTTTTAGGATGGGAGTAAAGTATTTACTGCTTCCTGTGATAAAACTGCCAAAATGTGGGATCTCAACAGTAATCAAGCTATTCAGATTGCACAAGTAAGCAAGCAAGCCCCAAGCTATTAGGTGTTTTTTTTTTCCCTTTTCTATTTTTATTAAAAGCTACCTTTATTAGCAAATTAAGCTAATGTTTAGTGCTTCTGAAGTAGATGCTGCTATTTGAAGAAGAGGTTGTAGGGTCCTTTTTATATTTTTGAGATAATGAAGTGCACATGAACAGGGAGGCCTGCAATCAAAGTGATTTGAATAACCTGTACAGCTGTTTCCTCTATTGTACTCGAGAGAGCTCTTCCCATTGCTGCAGTGATCTCACTAAGTCACCCTGCTGCATTATATATAGGGGAAAAAAAAATTTAAGAAATCATTGAATTCACTTTCACAAATACTAGCTTTCTGCTGCAGCAGTAACAGGGATTATAATTTACGTTCTCAATTTAGAAGTGAATGTCTGTTTGTAGAATATGTAGTTATGGTGACTAAAGTGAGTTACCAGTTATATAACTTAAGAGAGTTAGTCCTTTTAATGATTGCTTCTTGTATCTTATTTGGGGTGATAAAATGCAGATTCTCAGCCTTGATTTTAAAATTTTGTTGATGTAATTAACATAGGCCTTTCTTCTGCAGCTGTTGCAGAAGCTGGTTTTTTCATTAGTTTAATACGTTAATTAGTTTAGTACATTATTTATTACAAATTGTTGATTTTTTTACCATGATGGATAATACCCTTTGTAAATAAATAGAAAGTCCTGCTGTTCATAATTTGTATTTCTGCTGTGACCATATTCCTATACAGGGTGACTTGATTGTAGTTCTTTGTGTCAGGATCCATTTTTTTCTTATGTGGGTGTTTTTACAGCATTAAACACAATAAGGTCATGACCAACCTTCATCCTAACTGCTGTGACTAAAATATTGAATCACTTTTCTTGAAAGGATTAAAAAAGTGTAAATACATACAAAAAATATGAGGAACATAAGAAATGTGGACTGTTGTCCTAGTAAATGTACGTGTGTTTGTAATTTTTTTTTTTTTCTTCAGCATGATGCTCCTGTGAAGACTATCCATTGGATTAAAGCACCAAATTATAGCTGTGTGATGACAGGAAGCTGGGATAAAACTTTGAAGGTATGATTTTTACCTGAACGAATTGACACAAAGTGTGCTAGTAATCTGTGTATGAAAATACCTGTGAAGTTAAAATATTTTAGTAAGTACTAATACAAAAAACAGATTCATGAAATAGCCTCACTTCACAGAGGTTTGCAGTATTCTGACTATAGACAAGAATGAAACAACTTGGTACCAATTGCATTCTCTTTACTAAAGTAATTTAAATGGTGTATCCTCAACTCCAAGCATAAGTTTGTTCATTTTTCTGTTTCCATCAGTTCTGGGATACCCGTTCACCAACACCTATGATGACATTGCAGCTCCCTGAAAGATGTTACTGTGCAGATGTGGTAAGCCATGATATACGGTAAACTAGTGTCAGCCAGATGACTGGCAGTATGAATAAACTGGCAGTTTTGGAGGCTTCTGTAGGTTAGCACTAAATACTGACTGTTAGTATAGAATCATAGAATAGTATTTGATCTCTCTGTGATTTTAGCAATAAAACATAAATTGACCTTCTTGATCAGGCTCTGGAAAAATACGTGTTTGCATCATACAAAACATGCTTAGTATCCTTTTAACATCACAAATCCGAATCAGCACTAGGACTGACCTACCCTCGTTTCTGGATGAGTTTGCACTACCCTTATTGTGACTCACATTGGAAGGGTCAGCTAATAATTAGAAGATTTTTGGTATGTTTAATTTCTCAACGGCAGGGAAGAACTGATTTGTTTTGTGTGAAGATATGTCTACAAATGAATTTTGTTCTTTCTTGTCTTCCCTTTTCCCTCCCTTTCTTCCCCCCAGAAAATAGTCTAATTCCTTTAACTACTTCAGAGATTTCTGTGAAATAATAAATGGAATTCTCTGCCATGTTATTAACACAAATGTCTCTCTTCCAACCTATTTTACAACCTTACCCAGGTTCATCCTATGGCTGCTGTGGCCACTGCAGAAAGGGGTTTGATAGTTTATCAGTTAGAGAATCAGCCTTCTGAATTTAGAAGAATAGAATCTCCTCTTAAACACCAGGTAAATGATTATATTTATTACAAGCTTATTTATATAGATTGTTGAAATTCCGGGCTTGCCATTTTTGGGTAAAAAGAGTGTTTCAAAACCAAAGTACTTTATCTTGGTATGGCACATGTCCCAGTTTGCCGTTGATCTGTTGCTAATTTTTGTAAGGATTTAGAAATGTAAATACTGTGGCCCAATTTCTCAATAGAATTTGACCTATCTCTTGACCTTGTTTGTGTTTTTGCTTTATTTTCCATTGATGTATGTGATGTTTTGTGTCCTCGTGGAAAACAGACAGCATTCAGAAAATCTGGACCTCAGTCCTCCGTCTAAAATCCTCTATATCTTTCTCAAATTTAGCATCGCTGTGTTGCTATTTTTAAAGACAAAGTGAACAAACCTACTGGATTTGCCCTTGGAAGTATTGAAGGAAGAGTAGCTATTCATTATATCAACCCCCCAAATCCGTAAGTATCATTTAATAAAACATCCTTTCTTTATTGCTCAGTTTACAATGAGGAAAGTTTAAAAGACTTCTTTTTCCCCTCCCCAGTGCAAAAGATAATTTCACTTTTAAGTGTCATCGCTCCAATGGAACAAACACTTCAGCACCTCAGGATATCTATGCTGTAAGTTGCATTTATACAGGGCAATACGCACTCAGTGTAAAATTGGCTGTGAATTGTTTGTTCTCCTTGACCTCTTATCTTGCCTGAAGTTATCTTAGATGTATGTTTAAAGACCAGTCGTACATTAAGAGGAAAGACAAGCTCTTGTACTTCCCTTAAAACAAGCACCAGATCAACCATTGATAAAATCATCGTGGTGGAGATAACACTTGTTAATTTTGCTGATATTGAAGCAATACGTAATATATTTGTGTGATGGGATTATGCATTGAATTTTTAGGTACTACAAAAAAGATGATGCTTTCCTTGTTGCTTTGGTGGGGTTTGGGGTTTTTTTTGGTTTTGATTTCCCAGAAAACATACCTGAAAACATGTAAAAGAAAATTAAGAACTATATCTAGTTGGAAAAAAGTCTTTGCTGTGTATTTACTCTCAGGATTCAGCGCATGTGTTGCGAGTGTTCCCATCTGTGGTGTTTTACACAGTATTTTGTATGATTCTGCAGGTAAACGGGATAGCATTTCACCCTGTCCATGGTACTCTTGCAACAGTAGGATCTGATGGTAGATTCAGCTTTTGGGATAAAGATGCACGAACAAAGCTAAAAACATCAGAACAACTTGACCAGCCAATATCTGCTTGTTGTTTCAACCATAATGGCAATATATTTGCATATGCTTCCAGTTACGATTGGTCAAAGGTAAGAAAGGTTTAGACTCATATTTGTATTTACAGCTGACAACTAAGACTATCTTTTCATATGAGGCTTTCACTGTTCTTTGTAAATAGTAGCTGAGTCTTTCTAATTTCACAAGCATGCAAGAGAACTTGCAATGGTCATTTTAGACATCTGACAAAATTTAGCACTGAAGTAGTGCATTCTTTGGTTTTTAGCTTCAGTTGGATAAGATTGCTAAATAATGCTATTTTGCAAATGTGGATGAGCAAAATGTAAATTACATGATTCAGAGTTATTCTGGTTGCTCGCACACATTCTGTTGTGGGGAGTGTCATGGGGCAATGTGGCACCCTGACAGGTTCCCACAAATCTCTGCTTCTTTTGCAGATTCTCTTTAACTTTTAAAAAAGCTGTGACTGTGGTTATAAACATTTAAACCCGTGTTTGAATGCCGTGTACTAAATTTCCAGTACCATTCAGTGCAGCTTGTTGGTAGCACTTATTTATGTATTTCTCTTCCAAACCTGACTCAACGATAAATCATATAGATGCAAGAGAATCGCAGCAAACCATGGTACGTGGAGGACCAATGCTCCTTAATAGTTTAAGAAGGGGTAGCAAGGTTGAAATGTAAGTGATTTTAATGGAATGGCAACTTCCATTAAAAGCATTACTTTCCTGTTATAACTAGTGCTTTTAAATTTGAGGATAACATTCCTTGTGGTTTTGACTGAAATGAATGCAGAGATCACACAGATGAACTTGATTGCATGCCACAAAGAGCGCAAAATTTTAATTTACTGCATTGTATCTAGTCTTCGGCATGCTGCCCAAAGTAAGATAAGTTTGTTAGATGCTAGGGCAGATGAATTCTTCTGTTGTAGATGCTTGGGTAGACTGCAGTGGTAGGTACCGAGGTATCTTTCAGATCTGTAAACCAATATTATGTAATAAAATTAGTAGGTACTAAATTTCCTTTTTAGAACCATTTCTGTCAAGTGGAGTTGGTAATTTTCAAATTATGCGTTGGACTTTAATAACTTTATTAGTGTCTACTCTCCCTGATTTGAATATTTGCATATTGAGTCAGTGATGTGTATGCAAATAACATCAGTATGCAAAATATTATATTTGCATCTGCAGTTGGGGAGCAGAGATATTTTTGCAGTTGTCTGTAGAACTTTGAAAAAATGTGACCTTATTTCATTTAGAAGATAGAAAACATAAAGGGAAACTGGGTGGCTGTTAACATTTTAGTTCTCTGCCTAGAATGACATTAAAAAAAAAATCATATTGAGCTCTTATGCTGCATCTGTAAAGTAGAGCTTAGAAATACATGGTTATTTTTTTATTAAAAGCTTTTTATACCTTAAAAATGGATAAATGTCCCTTAAATTTTACTTTATATGCACAGTTCTTGTAATTACTTGTTATAGTAAGCTGTTTCTAATCCACCAATGTTGTCCAATATCTGGTCTTAAAGACTTTAAGATTAAATCTTAATAAACCAAATTAATGGTATATTCATATTCTTACGTTTTAAGGTAATGATGGTATTTCTTCTTTGAAGAGAGTAAATACAGATAATTTTTCTCTTTAGGGTCATGAATTTTATAATCCACAAAAGAAAAACTACATTTTTCTGCGAAATGCAGCGGAAGAGTTAAAGCCCAGGAATAAGAAGTAGTGAGTATGAGTGTGACTTGTGTTACTCTACTGTTTTTCTGCCATTCCTGCCTCTACTCCACTGCTCTTCTGCCATTTGTGCCCTATTGCACCACGGTTCAGTCAACTTTGGATCGCTAACATTTAGCAGGAACTGTAAAAATTACATTAAATGTATTCTGACTTGCTGGAGAACATTTTTTGAAATTAGAAATTCTGATGTGTATAAGAAAGAGAGGCTAGTATTCACATGACTTAACCACTGTCTGTTCCACAGCAATAATGAAATTGCAGCAAAATCTAAATCTGGGTTAGATATTCCTGCTTACAAGTGCAACCATTTATATCTGGATTTATTTTATTAGTACTACCTTAAAATATGTTAATTATAATAGTTCTGGAGAAGTTGTATAAATACTGTATTTTTTGTAAGTACTTGAAGAATTGCAAGTAATTCTTCTCAAAGGAGGCTTGTTATTACTTATTGTTCAGGGGTTCTTTCATTGTTTTCTGATTTTTAAAATGGAAATACTGTCTACTGTATGCCAGGAAGAAATGCCTTGCAAATTGTTTTCCCTCATTTTTTTTGATGAATTTGGTAGGTATGTGAGTGGCCAACAGCAGTGACAGAAGCTCAAGACAGACGATGGGCACAATGCAAATTCTACTTTAGTTTTTTCTTGCGCTCCAGCAATGGACATGATTTTTGAGCCAACGACACTCATGCTCATTCTTCAGTCCAAAGGAGAAATTGTCAGTTGTGGCAAGTGATACGTAGTTCAGTAATAAGAGCAAACCATTAAAGGGTTTGTTTTGTTCATGACCACACCAACGTGTGCAAAATACTTGTGGCCTAAACTGCTTTAAAACTGACACCTTTTAGAGTTAATAGTTGATTCTTCTACATCTCTTAACATACTTTTGTCCCTTAACAGGGGTTTCTGGACTGAAAAAAAAGTACTCATTTTTGTATTAACTAGAAAATAGTGCTGGTGAGTTTCATCCTGATCAAAAATGCTGTGAAACAAAACAAGTGGGTCTGTTTCTGACTTGAATCTACCACTGTTTACTTTTAACTAGCCAATTGTATACATGCCAAAGTTTTCTTTTTAGAAGTGAATGCTTATTATTCCTGTTTAACTATTGTTTGTTTGTTAATGACTAAATAAAAATGGGGGGGTGCATGTATAGAAATACCTGTCATATTGTACAAATTCTCTGTAAAACTGTATGTTGTAACGCTTATGGTTATGGATTCGTGCTACATTTCAAATAAAATTTTTACTAAATGCTTTTTTCTTATAATGACATGGGCAAGGTGGTGTGCTTCACTTCTAAAAGCAGCTTCTTGTCCTTTCACTGTAATTCAGATACATTTTCTGAAAGTACTTTTTCCCCAGCTGCTTGAGCTGGAAATCTAATGCTTTTTCAAGTCACTATTCCATTATGAATGATTCCTGTGGTTTTGTGTCAAAGAATTAAGAGGACTAGCATGAAAGGCCTTTTGTTTTACGAGAATGAATCAAGTTCTTTTGCTATCTCAACAGCCGAACACCTGACAATTTGTCTTTAGTACAAATGAATCGCACTACCTTCAAACTCTCTGTAGCCTACTGGTCCTGTAACTTCAGACTCTTCTCTCTACAGCATTCATCAGTTTTTGTTGGGTGTGTATTTCTTGTTTGGTATAGTTGAAGGAAGCCCATGAAATATACTCTGCTGTTGTTTAGAGATGCTCTCTTCTGGGTTTTATTCCTCAAGTTGTTTTTTTTTTTTTTTTTCCCCCTCCTACTTTTATGGTTTACATGGCTTTAGATTTCACATTCATGGGCTATTTGTTTTCTTTAAGATAGGGAAGAGTTCTCAGTAGTTAAATCAATAGCTGGCCATTTGCTCAAACATTTCTTTTGTTTTTGTTGAATTTTCTTTTTCAAGGTTGTGATTATTATGCTGTAATCTTTGGTTGTTAGTACATTTTTTCCGGTCTTCCCAGTCAAATGAATGCCACCAAGCTATTGCAGGCTGAAGGTTAAGTGTGTGTGATCATTGATGACCAAAAAAAATAAAATTTCTAATCTCTCATGTGCAGAACTCCCACTGGTGTAAACAGGGAAGAATGGAATGTATCATCTGTTTCTTGTTTAAAAGAAATCTGTTTCTTTGTTTAAATACTTAAGAATGTGAATGGGTGTTGAGAAAATAGAGTCACTCCAGTTCAGCAGGTACGTTTCTACTGGATCCAATGGAGTTGCACCTACTTAAGTGGGTACTAAGTTTAGCCAAAATACATTTTCATTATCAAGCCAGCACTGGTAAGTCTCTCTTGTTTGGTAATACAGTTCTGTATTAATATGTTGAGTCCTTACTCTCCTATTGGAATCAATTTCTTCTGATCTGTCAGCAAGGTTTCACAATTATTTAGTCATCACATTAATTGTTCAGACTAATTTCAGAAGGGCATATTTTCCATTACGTTGCTGTGCACATTAGATATATTCAATTGGGAGGACAGAATCAAACTTTGAACTGATTTGTTTTCCATTACCCAAGTTAAGAGAATGCATTGGCAATTTATTCCTCCCTGGAATTATGGCAAGATTCTCTTGTGAAGTACACACAGCTGTATTCCTTCAAGCATTAAACATGTAGCGAGAGCTTATTCACACGCAAATAAGCGTTAGCGCATGCTCTGGAAATGTATTAATTTGCTATTCTATGACAGTTACCTGTCAAAAAAACCTGAGTGGAGTAGAATGTAAGATTCTAACACGTACACAACACTAACCACAGGAATGCTAGATTTATAAAATAAATTATTTTCATTAATTTTTCGAAAGTTTGCTGTCAATGTTTGTGCTTTATTGCAGAAAAATAATCTTTGGCATAAAGAGCAGCTCATTTAAACCCACCAAAATGGGGACTTAGCTTATCTGAAAATTGTTCATAAACAATCTTAACCTTCCTTCTGCTGGTCTTGCATGTCAGTGGTCTTGCATGTTGGTTTAATGAAGTGTATTTCAGAAAACGAAGCAATTGACAAAAAGCTTGTCTGCTAAAGCCTTTCTACAAATGAAAGCAAGACATGTTTGCACAATGGCAAGCAGTCAGGCAGAGTATCTTAATTTACCATCTGTCAGATGAAATGTAATAGCTGAATTGGTGAGTACTCCAGCCTAGCTCCTTGGCTAGGAAAACAGGTGAGTTTGAATCATTCTCCGGAGAAGTATGGATTTGAGATAAAGGTGTGGTTAGGTGTATGTGGGAAATTTCAATAAAACTGTTGCTTACGCCTAGTTCAATTTAATGGCGGTTAAGTTCTGTTTGCAGATGAGGTGTCTGGGCAACTGTCCAGAATAAGGAATTGTGTCAAACGACTATCAAAAGGTTTTACTATCTGGCCTTTGAAATGATAGAAGCCACTTATTTCTCATTTTCTTTTCTGCTGTTGCTGTTTGTAGAGATGGACCAGGGCAAAATGAAATGTTAAGGTTTATGCCGTTACATTTTTACATCTCCAGATTCACTAGCTAAGTGTCATTTGCAGTCTGGGGTAAGACTAACTTCTTTCAAAGTGAATCTCCATCAAAAACTTCTATGTAAAACATTTCCCTTAGGTTGTTCAGCTTACCAGCCAGGTGGGAGTCATCATCTAGTACTGCAACACAAAATAATGAATGGAACAAATTCGGAATAAAAACAATTCCCTAACAAAATTTTCTACGCTAGTAGTTGCAGTATGCACAAAATGCTCTAAATGTGCGATTTAAAGCTGTTGCTGTAAATCTCCTGTTATGCCAGGAGATGGCAGTATTGATGGCTTCTTAACGAAAGCTTTCCCTGCAGCAGGGACTGCTGCTCCTTTGGATCTGCCAAAGTTCTCTGTGGAGCTAGCAGTGCCGTGCCAAGCTCCTGCACGTGTGCTGTAACACAAGGTACAGTTACTTGTAATATCAGGCTATCCCAAAATACTCAGAGAATGGAAGAAGATACATACAAGATGGAAATATTTTTTGATTTCAGTTCTGCAGGAGTGTACATGATACCTGTCCATAAATGTAAACCAAGACCTTTTTAGAACAAACTATGAGATGCTCTTTTAGCTGCTTAGGGAGATGTCTGTATGGCTGCCTGAGTTTTGGGGACCTGGGTAGTACTAAAGGTGTTGGTAGCATGTTTGGGGACCAGGCATTTAAGTTTAGAATTAGGCCAGGGTGTAGCTGAGGGAGTTGGCATATGAGCTGGACTATTGGCTACTAGCGTTCTAATTAACTTCCCTTTCTAAGACAAATCTCAATAATTTAGGCTGGTTTTCATACTGCTATCGTAGGAGACTGTAGGTTTAAAACTGGTAAGCAGCTCCAGGCTTTTTTCTAAACTGCATTTCTTGAAGGAAGAAAGAAAAGAGCCAATAAAAATACTTCACTAAAAAACAAACAGGTAAGCTCAGTGATATGCTACTTAAAAACAAGGGCACTTTTTTCCAAAAATTTGAAATGCAATGTCTTTCTTACTTTAATTTTCAAAGCTTGGAAATGCACAAGAAAACGAAAGTGAGAAATAGTCTTGAATTATAAGATTTGAATATGGTTTTAAATTGCTTATTTACCCCATGCAGCTATTTTGTCCCTGGGGTGTATGTGACCGGTAGCCCCTGCTCCCGACCCCTGGCAATGTAGTTAGCGTAACTAACGCCATTTTATAAGGCAAGCAGCCATTCTCTGTGACCGAGCGGGTCATGTATTTGTTCCCTTTCCCTCTGTCAAGCCCTGAAGGTCCTGTGAACCAAGCAGACAAACCAAACAGATTTCTTCTTCACCTCCCTGCCGGCCTCAGGATTCCTGGGCACCAGGCCCATTACTCCCTTGCTGGCCTTGGAGGTCCAGGCGCCCGGCCAGCCAGGTGGTGGTGATGACCCTGTCACAGAACGGGGAAGCCTAGCAGCACACAGAGCGCCGTCTATAAAATCAAGCACTTGGAAGCCTTAACTGGGGAACGGGGACCCAAACTGCTGCTGGAGAGTGAGACCCGGGACCCCCCCCTTCCCCATGGCCAGCGATGCCTCCGCTGTCGTCTGCTTCCTCCGAGGACTGAGTGACTCGTATTCTTTTATATGATTTTTTGAGTCTGGATTATGATAGTTATATTGATACAGCAGACCATGTATTAAGATCCATCCTGATCTTCAGAGGGGCCAGGTGATAAATTGTGTTGTATTATAAATTCTGTATTATGCTATTCATAGATTGTACTAATTGCTTCTACTTGTAGAAATCCTGTGCCATTGTAATCATAAATTCTGTGCTACGCTAATCATAATACCCTGTTAAGAAAATAAAGCTCTAAATAACTGTGATTTAGTGTCATCATCATTCTGCCAAGGATCCCTAAAAGAACCTGTCTGTCCCCTTAGTGGCAGGTGACAGGCGTAGCTTAAAAGAAAAAAACCACAACCCAGTAATATCTGCATTGGCAGAATCTTGTCTTTGCACATCTCAGGCTGTGAGTTGGGGTTGATAGAACTGTGTATTTCATCCTACAGCTCATGTTCCAACAGCTGACAGCCGTTTATTCTTATTTCCAGGTAAGCTTAGGTTTATATACAGGCAGTACAGAGGCCGTCCCACTGCTGAGCAATAGGACAGCCATTTTAAGTGTGGAAACGGCGACTGTTTTTCCTTGCCAGGTCAGAATAAACGAAGCAACATCAGCTGGCTGGCCGTGATGGTTTCAGCAGACAGATGCTAGTACTTCCATTGGGCGGTATGTTCTGTGTACACATGGAGTAGGCTGTGTTCCCGAGAATCTGCAGCAGGAAACAAGCTCCTCAGAATACAGCTGCTGGAGCGGCACACGGGGATATCGCAACTACAAGCATTATGAATTCAAAGCGGCAGCGGTCTGTCTGTCTGCGCTGCCCCGGGTACGTCCCGCTTGACACAGCAGCAGAGGCTGGAGTCAGGCTTACAGATCTCTGTTTCACTTTGATCGGGCTCGTTCCTCAAATGCAAAGCAAGCCTCCGTTTATTTGTACCGTTTACCTGCTTCTGGAATGGGGGTTGTGCTACATTAGGTGTTTAGGACATCACGCCGCTTAGGACTTGCTTGTAAGGTAATAACGAGACTGAGGCAATATCACAAAGGGCACCGTGTGCCTCGGGAACACTTGTGCATTGACAGGGCAATTCCAAATGTTTGTGTTGCATCAGTTCTGCAAATACCTTTTGTTATAGTGCATAAAAGATACAATACTTGTCAACGTTAGCTTTGTAAAGAGAGACTGTTTTCTTCTGTTGACTAATTATCCAGTG